ATTTGAAACCTTCCACCAAAGCTCTCTTCCTTTGAGTGATCGTATTATTTTCATATAATAATAGAAGTGCGGTATAATAAGTTTCAGTGAGTTCCAAAACTTTCTGGTAAACTATTGAGGGTAGAGCTGGTTATAGAAAACCCTGACTTGCAGCTGACATCAGTAGTAAGGATGGTTTTGGTTTTATTTCTTGAATCTTTTTTAAAAATTAATTTTATTGTACATTTAAAGTATACAATATAATGACATTAATTGTTGGAGATTTGTTCCTTTACATAATCAATCTTGGTTCTTATTTTTCCCCATTCCCCTGCCCTCCCTTCAACCCCTCCCTCCTTCCCTCCTATTCTTCCCTATAACTTTATAGTTGGACTTTAATCCATTGCAGTTGGGCTAAAATAACTAAGGGAGACTTTATGCTTGACATAATGTACTCTTAACTCTATGTAAATAAATAGTAATAATTCCAAAATTTTAAAGATTCTTAAATTTCAATTACACTAAATTAAAGGTTGGTAGGAGATAAGAGCATGAAAGCTGACCACTGATATTCAGAATACTGTATGTCAACATGTTAAGTATTGATACAGAGGAAAAATGTATCTCATTATGAGTGTCTTCCTAAAAATCAGCACTACCCATATCTGTCATCAGCTGAGAGTAGTAAGTTTTCCGCCATAGGAAATGTTAATTCTTGGAGTAGAATGTTCTATAAGTCAAGTGTATTGCCAAAGGATTTTGGTCTCAGAGTAGAGGGTGACTGTATTTAAAAGTATCTGTTAATGCTAGATTCTGCAATTTTACAGTTACCGTTATTTCTTCAAAATTGCAAATAAGAAAACTCAGTGCCTATGTGTAATAGACCAAGGCCTTAGATTTAGCTCTTAGAAAAATCTGTTAATTTTTCTTTGCTTAAAAAAATAACAGATAAGTCTCAGTGTACTCCCATTAGCTGGATAACTACACGTTTTTTAAAAAGCAAAAGAAAAGGGTGCTGCAGGAGAGAACATTTAAAATGTGTAATGTTGGCTCACATCCTTCTTTAAAATGTTTTGTCATTATCAGGGTAAACTAAGGAGTACTTACACTTGAATGGTAATGGAGGGCATACTTTGAAAAACTGCTCTATCACCAAAAGGAAATTTTAAGAATGTACCACAAAAGTTAGTATTATGTAATAAATTATTCAAATTATAAAAACTTTTTCAAATAAATTATAAATGGATATGAAAATTGTAAAATTGTCACAAAATCATAAACCACACAGGAAAAAATTGAATTTAGTGTAAAATATATTTAGTTGTATATTCAAAAAAGGAATCCATTTTTCCTTTTCAGACTTTAATTACCACAAAACACTGTCATGTCAACTGAAATAAAATTTTCCAAGGCTTCATGAGTGATGATCATTCCTTTCTTCCCAACTAAATTCCAATTTATTCACTAAACTACTCAGAACTTGAGTTTTCTTAATTCAGTAAAAACTACTGCTTCATATAAAGTTTATGTGCTAATCAGTATTGTTAGGGGAAACAACACAAGAACATCGTAAGTTTGTCAATTTCATGCATTTGATAAAAATATGAAATTTCATAAAAGAATCCTGTCAGATAAGATGCTAAACTCTAAACTATATAAAGAGCTTAAATAACTCAATAGCAATAAAAGTGATTAAAAGTGAATTATAGATTTAAATACAGCTTTATTCTGAAAAAATTCATACAAATAGCTGATGGGTATACAAACAATGTTGAATGATAGCATTCATTAAGGAGATGGAAATCAAAACTATAAAGAAATACCACTTATTATCTGTCAAAAAACATCAAAAAACAAAAGACAATATTGGTGGGAATGTGGAAAAGTTGCAATATTTTTACACTGTTGATAGGAATTCAAAATGGTGCAGCTGCTATGGAAAACAATATAGAGGTTACTTCCAAAATTGTGATTAAAATTACCTATGAGCCAGAAATCCCATTTCTGGGTATTTATAAAAAGAATTGAAATTGGTATCTTAAAGATATAGTCTCACTGTCATGTTCATTTTAGCAAAACTGTAGAAATTACCTAAATGCAACCAGCAGATGACTAGATGAAGAAATGTAGCAAATAGAATAGAATATCATTCCACTTTAAAAAAGGGAAGAAATTCTGCAATAAGCAGCAACATCGATAAGCTTGTGAATATTATAGTAATAGAAACCAATCTCAGAAAGACAAATACTGGATGATTCAGTTATGTGAAGAATCTTCTAAAATAGTCAAATCTCTAAGGCAAAGGAGTGGAATGGTGATTTCCAGGCCATGAGGGGAGAGAAAAATGAGCAATTGCTGTTCAGCTGCATAAGGTCTATGCAAGGTATAAATAATCTTGTGCTTACCACATTCAATAAACATCTATTACACCTTTAAAAATTAGTTAAGGAGGTAGAGCTCATGTTGTGGTCTTACTACAATAAGATTTTAAATAAAAGATTCTACAATATGGTATGTATGAATATCTCTGATCAACTTTGCCTAGAATATCTTACTGTTATGGTTCTGTAGAAATGAGAACCTTAGAGCTGCCCATGGCTGTCCCTGCTTATTTTCACAATAAGCTCATCCTTTTGCTCCAAAAATTCAGCCTGCTTCAGGTTTCCAACATAATCCAGTAGATATCATTTGAAAGAATAACTTTAAAGATTCAAACTAGAAGAAGGAACCTAACACACAGAAAAAATCATTTACAAATGTTAATGACAATATATTAGCAAAAAAACAGTGTGCTGAGCAAAATACTATATTTATCTTCTTACTATGGGGACAAAAGATGTAGGAAAATAAAGGGATAAAAAGTGAGTCACAGGCTCCCACATTTTATTCTGTGAATTTGTATAATTTTCTTCTTCCACAGAAAACCTCTCCAATTCCTGCTGAGGAATTAGAATACATTCAAGAAACTTCAGATTTAGAAGAGAACTCATTCACCAACAATACAGCTCTGAAATTAAAAGTAAGATATTCACCAACAATTTCAAAATAGAATAGAGGTCTAATTTTAATGATGTATTATTACATCAATAATTGGAGTATTTACATGAAATACAATAGAGTTTAATAAAAAACCATACAAGTGGAAAACTATAAGAAATTAGAATTTTGTCACAATGATCTAGCTAAGTATAAATTTAAATTCATTGATTTTTTCAGGGCTTTCAAAGTAACGAATGAATTTTTAAAAAGCTACAGAGGTGACAGTTTTAAAAGCCATGCATTTCTAAAAAGCCACAAACAGGTAATCATATACTTTTTCTGCATTTTCAAGAATATACATATACTTAGATTTTACAAAGAGAATTAGCACATCATATTGTTTCATCACTTTTTTTTTTTTGCTTCAACTCTGCTTTCAACTATAGTGACAGGGATACCTCACTTTCTTGGATCAAGTTGAAAGGTCTCATTGTGCTCCATGACAAAACAATACTTATGTTTGACCTGAGCCTATAAACTGGCCCATGGTGGTTTTCTCTAAGGCTACCAATTAGAAAGGTGTCACCATAAAAGTCTGATTCCACTACATTATCCCTCATTCTTTAAAAACGATATAAGATTGACCTAATTTGTATAAGACCTAAATGTATACCTTGCATTTGTGCAGGGCCCTTCTTCAGGAATTTCTTTGCAATTTAATCCGGTTTAAAATAGATGAACTAAACCTGGCGTGGTGGCACACTCCTGTAATCCCAGCACTCGGGAGGCTGAGGGAGGAGGATTGCTGTGAGTTCGAGACCAGCCTGGGCTACATAGTGAGTTCCAGGTCAGTCTCAACTGCATAGTGAGACCCTGTCTCAAAAAACAAAACAAAACAAAAACAAACAAACAAACAAAAAAAGACATGAACTGAATGAATGATCTATTGCTCATATTCACTAGAGCAATGTTGCTGAAACTTGATTATTTATGAATTAATGAAAATTAAGATTTTTTTGAAATACCATGTAATAAGGACGCATGAAAAACTTAACATATGCGTTTGAAATGATAGTTAGGCTTTCTATGTGCTTCCTATTAGGATGTTCACTATACTACTTATGAACAAATCCTGCTAAACTAATAAAAGAAAGGAACCAACTGAAATATTCTGATCTGTGAGCTCACAGGAAATGCAGAGAAAGGAGAACATGGTTAATGACACCAAAGGGCTACAAACGTGAAATCCCAGGATGAGAGAGACTCTAAGGAGCAAATGACCCAGTTTCATGGACAATAAGCTGAAAAGAAAAGAAGGAAACCTACAAATTGATAATGATCTTAGCAATATGTCAACCAAATTCCATGTATGACTCTTGTTTGAATTCAAGTTATCTCTAAATAGGAAAAAAAAAAAGCAATCAGAAAAGCTAGTACATTTGAGAGATTATAGAAGTATTATAAGTATTTTAGATGTAAAAATGATGTTGTGGTTTACAAAAGAATATATATATATTTTAAGTAATTTTATTGGTACATTTAATGTATATGATGTAATGACATTTATTGTGGGAAATTTGAACTTTTACATAATCAATCTTGGTTCTTATTTTTTTCCCTATCCCACTGCCCTCCCTTCATCTCCTCTCTCCCTATCTAAAAAGAGTTTTTAATATGTGAATGTATCTATTTCAAAGATACATGCTGAAATAGTTTTAGATGTATTAATATTGTGTGATACACATATTTGTTTCAAAATAATCCAGGGAGCTGGAAAACGTGGGTACACAGAAAAGCATATTTGGAAAATTTGAGAGCAGTTTTATATATATATACTTTGGTTCAAGAACTTGATTCTTTCCAGGATTCTGTTCGCAAACTGAGTTGGAGGAGAACTAAATCAAATTATATGGTTAGGTTTCAGGGTGCTCTTTTGGGGAAATTTGATTTAGTTCTCAGACAGTTGGGTTTGTGACCAGAATTGCAGAGAAAATTGAGTTTGTGAACTGAGATACCTATTTCTATATTTATATGTATCTCTATTTCTATATTTACATATATCCTACATTTGTAATAGATTTTTATTGTTATTCTCTAAGAAATAGATCTAGTTATGTCTATTATGTACACATTTCCCTAGTAAAAGCTTTTTAAATGAATACTAATATCAGTATGAGCATAAAACCAAAAGTAAAGTAGCAAAGTCTCAGAAACAGAGAAAATCAAGCTGCTCAGTAATATATGGGAAGAGGAAAATATTCTGTAGAGGGTTTGGTTGAGCTGCTTCTCTAATACACTGTGTCTATTAGAACAGAGGGCTCTCTAGAGACAGAGCAGCATAACCATAACAAAACATTTGAATTATGTGCCAATTAAGGGAAAGATTAATATTAGATAGAAGGTAGAGACACTCACTGTCTTATTTTATTTTCCCTACAAACCCTTAGTCATACCTTTTATAGATGTGTAGAAAACTTTACACATTAAAGGTGTTGGTTGGAGGAGATTAGAAGATAACAGTTTAGAAATCACATAAATAGTATTAAATACATCTTAGATTAGCCTCTTTACCCAAAGACTGTTTAGAACTAAACTGTGTATAAACTTCTGTTAGGATCCATATGTATTATTTCATTATTTTTTTCAAGTCAATGTCCAGTTTGGAATTTCATTACTCAAACCACTGTCAATATTTTGCTTATTGTCTTGCCAGTTTTGTACGACTGGCCTGGAACTATAGTCTATGCGCTGACATAATATGAATCATCCATGTTACTCATTCGATCGAAGTGCTTGCCTCTAGACTTGACTGAAACCTTTGCCCTTCCTTTGGCCCATTCCTGGTCATGAACTCGTTGGAGTGTATCTGTCTGGATTATAGTAAATGTGGAGCCACTATTCAGTCAATAATTGAACTATGTTCCTAAGATGCAGTCTGTTTAACATTGAGGGAAAATAACACAGCTTGACCCTCGTGAAGTGTTATGAAGAGCTACAGTCAAGTGGAGACTTCTTTTATTCTGGTTGGAGTATTTTGTTGTTATATTAACCTTGAGTGGGGCGAGCTGCGAATGGTATATAAAATTCCTTTAACTTGGCTGCTTCAAGGTTAAGAGGCTTAAAAACACAAAGGCATTAAAATTTGATTAAGTCTATAGCTAAACAGTTAATTTTAATGCTTATAATAATTTAGGAAGATAATAGTATTATTTGTTGCATATGCATTTTAGTCAAACACTGAGCTGAGAGCTTTATAAATAGCATTCCATTTATATACTTTATGTACTTGGCATTGCAGAAGACCAGCTAGCCAGTTGCTCTGATTAAGCCCACCACTGTTTTCTACAGAATTGGCAATGGCAGCGAGCAGAATTATTGGAAACTTTAAATGTATATCAGGGACTGAACTGGAGCCAGCTCATGCTAATTCAAGATCCTATCTTTTCCTAACTCAATGTTAAGTGACATCATATTGGCAGTTTAAAATGGCCATGGTAAATTTGCACTACAGAATTAGTAAATGCCACCCCAGAGAGCCATCCATTAAAACACTTGTCAAACTACTCAGTGGATCCCTCATTCATTCTTTAGGAAGAATTTTGTCATTGAGAATATCTTCTGACCAGGTCCAAAAGTTACAGCAGCAAAAAGTTCAAAATTAAGGAATAACTTTAAGGATATAAGGGGAATAGAAATAAATCATCCTCTCATGCCACTCATGTTTTGTTCGTATGTTTTATTCTCTCTGCTCCAACTGATTTAACGTTTTGAAAGGACAAGGTGAAAGAACTCTGGTTCTTTGGGTATCTTCCAGTAACGGAGAGAGGATCTGGGATTAGCAAACCAAGGCACGGCAGGTGAATTTAATCTGCCGAACATCTTTTTTTTAAAAGTAAGGCTTTGTTGGGGTATAGCCACACCCATTTGTTTATGTGATGTGTCTGGCTGACTTCACACCTGAACACAAGTGCTGAGAAGTGGTGACACAAACTGTATGACTAGCAAAGCCAAAGGTATTTACTATCTGGTACTTTATAGAAAATGATTTCCATGAATGATTACAGAAATGATGTGTTTGGTATATGCACAATGCTTGACTTTGGATTTAGCTTATACAAGAATGAGACTGGATGAGGTCAATTTCTTGGTCTTACCTCAATTTCATGGAGAGAGCTTCAGAAATCTAACCTATGTCTTCAAATTGTATTTCTATGCCCTTGTGTAATTTCATTGTGCTGAGAAAACAACCCTGTCAGAAAAACAATCATGTCTCAAATTCACATAAGGTGGGATACTCAGACACTCTATTTGAAACTCTTTATTCAATTTTTCATTCAACAAATATTTATTGAAGGCCTCCTTGGTTACAGCCTTCTGGATTGCAGGCAATGGCGATACATCTATGAATAAGCAATGTTTCTGCTCAGATGCATCTTATGTTTCAGTGGAAAAGGCACACAGATATTTCTTGTTTGCTTTTTGTCTGATATAATACCAAAAAGAAATAAGCAGAACTTAAAAGAGAACTCAAAGCAGCTCAGATTGTTGGACAATCAACCAGGTACCTTGTAAAATGTTTAAGGAAGACATGGCTAGGTAGATGATTTCAAAGCGGAAAGATGAGAACACAGCAAAAGAGTAAGCCAGTGTTACTCGAGGATGGAGCAGGAAGGAGGGAGGACCTCTAGCAAGTATGTGTTCAGCTTGCTGAGGAAAGGCCAAGTCAAGAGTGAAAGAAGAGAAAACACATGACAGATTATGTCAGCTAGGAAAGTAGGGTCAAGGTCATACTAGTGTTTGTAAGCACAGTAAGGGCTTCGTATGCTATTCTAATAACATAGAAAATGAACAGGAAGTGTTGAGGATGCTGTTGAAGTAATTTACATTTTGAACACTACCTTATCTTCTCTGTATAGTAGAGACCACAGTGGATAATGAATAGAAGGCAGTTGCGGGCTCCTGCAATAAAGCAAGCAAGAGCTAATCTGTGTGTGTGGGTCTATGGATTACTGGGAATCATGAGAAGGTAGTTTAAATGATCTGTATGGAAAATGTTTATAGACTGCCTAAATCTCCTTTATAATCAAATATTAACTTCTTTCTTCTTGCATAGGATAGGAGGTGGGGAAGAATTCACACATTCATTCAACAAATATTTATTGATCATCAGTAAGGTATTCTTTACTTTAGATAACAATTTAAAAGACATTTATTTTATTGGAAAGTGATGGGCAATAACTGAGTTCTTTGCGTATCCACTCCCTCTTTTACGTTATATAAGCTGTTCCTACTCTTGCCTCAACCCTTTCCACTAAGTTCTCTGCAACCACCGGCCAACCCTGGTGTCATGGCTGATCTCATTCACTAAAGGTGGGATCTGATGCTTTCATCACAAGTTTCAGAATAAAAGCAATGGATTAAAATAAATGTAGCCTATGTGGTGCATGCACACAGTACACAGCACAGTGGATGGGTGCTTTAATCTTCCCGTTGATGCCTATCAGTATTAATATATTTGGGTGATTCTCTAACCAGTTAACTATAGAATTTGTTTAACTCATCTTCCAATCTTCAAAAACTGAGCTCCCCTCTCCTGCTTTCTTATCATTTTATGTTAAGGTTCTAGGAAAAATACACAAAAATTTTCAAATAGCATTGGAGGTCTTTCCCATTGTTTGAAACATTTTTTACTAATTCCAAAGGTCTCCATGTTGTCTTGGGTACTGTGAATTTAATTCCTAAATTTGTGCTTCTTTCTTTGTTCTAAACATAGGGCAGATCTTTGAAATGACAGAAATATTCCAAATGCAAGAGTTGGTTTTCCCAACCAAACTGCGGGTAAAGATGTAGCATTTCAATAGAGTTGTAGTAGTATTCCTTGTCACATGGGTCTGTCTGTGACTCCAAAGGTCACCTTGTGAGCCTGCTAAAATTTGGGATACATAAAAATAAAGATGGGGCACAAATGAACTGGCAGACAATTCTCAAACATGTGAATAAAAGCACTAAGCTAATATTCCTGAGATCATAGTTTTAAAATTTAAATGCTGTGGTTTCCAAAATGGAACAGAAGCTGCTTCAAATCAATGTAAGAATTGTTAAAGCACAGAAATGATAATAGCTATGAAAAGTTTTACAGACCATATGTAAAATATGTAAATATTTATTATTGTTGATATATTTGAAATTTTGAAAACATTCAATGTGTGTAACCTTGATGTTATTTTTCTTTGCGTTAGAATGAAGATAAAAAAAAATAAAAATAAAGACCTGGTGATAGTCCCCAAGGTGTGGGTGGTCTGCATTAGACTTCTTCTACCTCACAAGCCAGGCTTAGGAGTGTGCCTGGGGAGCTAGAAAGGGTTAAAGTTTTGTCTGTGACACTGAAATTGAGGCCAGCTGTAGGTCATATTCATGTCCCAGTCACAGGAAAATGAACCTGTGAGACAGAACCTAATTATCTGCTAAACCAAAAGCCAGTCTCAGTTCAATAACTTACGACAGAGCTAGCAGCCAGATATAGTGTTACCATGGCAACTTTGGAAAAAGCTCCACTGTGGTTGAAAATAAGGAGGAAGGGAAAGAGACTGTAACCCTAAATGTGCTGTAGCCGTTTGATCTTGGACAAGTGGATTTGTCTAGAAGACCAAGTTATTCTATACATTCTTATATTGTCATTCACTTTAATATCTGTAACAATTACAAAAAAGAAAACCTCAATTATAATGCTCTCTAGACTTTAAAATGATTCATTTGTTAATGACTAAATGGGAATTATTTTTTTAAAATATAAGCTTCCTCTTTCTCCTTCATGGTAGACAAAATAAGGCACAAAGGGTGGGGCTCCTGGAATGTCTCATTTTAATGAATGAAATTTATGTCCATAAAACTTACTGTGTCACTTTATTTTCCTTTGCTTCCCAAATACTAAGATATTTCTGAAGGAAAACTTTTTGGAATTGAAGCAATAATGTTTTCTTTTTTAAGGCATATACAACTCGGAGAGTAGAGGAAAAAACATTTTCTTTTTGAATTCTGCCCAAATTTTAAGTGAAATAATTTTCTGGGATATTGAGTGAAGAAGAATCAAGCACTAGAGGGAGGTAAGCCCTGCCAGATTGGTCACTTTTGTTCTTGTTAGTTCATTTTTGTAGTTTTTTTTCTGGAAGGACACTGGATTTGTGAATTTGCAAGTGATTAAGCTTCATGTACATAAAAACTTTAGAAGCCAGTTACTATGAGTATGTGCAAATAACACGTCAGTAAAAATATTAGTAGTAGGAGAAATAAGAGCTTACTATACACTCATTTGCATGTAGAGAAAGAATTCAGTAATGCATTCCTCTATTTTGTAAAATCATTCCCAATGGAGACAAATCATACTAAAGCTTGTCAGTTGCAATGATTGGATTTCAGCATATTTGATAATTTTAATATGTTATTAATGATGTAATAACACACACATAGCATATAGTATTATCACTTAGGTTTAGCTATACAATGTAATACTAAAATTGAATCACATATCTATATATAAATACTGCATAGATACAGCAGTGTATTTGTGTATAAATTATAAACACATTGGGTTTGGAACAAGGAGAGGAAGAAATATGGAGATGAATTACATTCTTTTCATATGCATGAATAACCACAGTAATGTAAATGAGAAAATAAAATGGAAAGTAGGTTTTGTTCTAGCAGAAATACGACTAAGAATGTATCCTGAAATTTGCCAAAACATTAGAGTTACTTATGATATCTGTGAAATTTCTTTAAGATATCGTATCTTAGAAAAATATTTTACTCTAGTCCTTTATACTATATATTGGGTACATAACTATGTTGATATGGAAATCCATAACTTTAAAATCCTTTAAATATGATAAAGAGAGCTTTAGAACTGCACGAAGATAAAAGTTGTGAGTAGAGGGCAAGAAGACAGAAAAGTAACACCACAGGACAAAATGAATTTTCTAATTTCCAGGTAGAGGTAACCTAGCCTCTGCTCATGACCCTAACTTAATTCCTTTTCAAGTAAATGGAACCCAGAGAGTAGATTCCTGTCTAGGGCAGATGTTTCTCAGATCTGATTACTAAAAGGTTTGCAAAGAAGCCAACTAAAACAATAAAGCCTAGTGCTTGGATCCTGTTACTCCTAATATAAGTATTTCTCTTAATCTTTCCTCTTATATGAATTAATTAATTAGGAAAGAAAATGAAGCAATTTTATCAGAGAAGCATCTGAAAGAGCTATTGATTCAAATGCTTTTACATCTTAGCCTTAACACACATGATTAGCTTGCAGATATGAGCTTAGTAATAATGCAAAGCTCCAAATTTCACTGGATTCTCTGTTCTACTTGAATTCCCAGGAAAGATATTAGAAGCACTAACAAAGAAATCACACTGCTTTTCTCAAAGCATTTTAGTCAGTAATTTTGAAAAGATATGCCATGATTTTACAATCTTTCTTAACTGTTCCATTCAAGTTCTTTAGCATCATAGTATATAGTTCTTAAGTTTGTGAGTAGATCTGTGTGCTTTTGGTTATTTCTAATTATAACCCTAAAATCCATAGGTGAGCACTGTGGGAGCCATGTGCCGCACCCTGCACAAAAGCATCAATATGTTCAGTTAACATTAAATAAATACAATAAAAATTACAGTAGAAAATAATTTTGCAATTTAAAATAATCTCTTTGCCATATAGAAGGTATGTAATGGGTTTGTTAAGAGAGTAAGTAAAAAAACGGGCCTATCTATTGAAGTCCAAAGACTTGATTTCATCTACATAAAGACAAAAAAGTTGTCTTGGGGAAAAAAATAAAAAAGAGAAAGATTAAAACTTATGCTACCCTTGGATAAACCCCATGAGGTGAGTTTCCAATTTCCAGAAATTCTCAATTCACTCATTAGGAAGGAAAAGGAAAAGGAAATCTAATAACAGTTATCAATATTGGATCTATCATTGTAAAATGGATTAGAATATTCTAGAATATATGAGAATATAATATATAATAAAGATAGAATTAAATGTCTTTGAATTTTACTGTCTTCTCCCCATTAAGGTTGGCCACTGTTTTCTATTCTTCATTAACTTTTGAAATGGATCAGTACATTGGTCTTCCACTATTAAGGTGTCCTCAGCAGAAAGTTCTACAATGTTGATCTTAGAGAGACCTGCTTGTTGACTAAAACACTATGATTTGCTAGTGTTTTAAATTCTCCGAAACACCACAAAATCTC